GTGTGTAAGCAATTTTAAAAAACTGTAGGAAAACTACATTTCCTGTGTTGTGTGTATAATTAACTGAGCAGTTATTAGTTTGGGGCCAATTGAAAATATACCATGTGCATTTGATAATATGACAAATTACAGTTTTTGTTTGTTGTGTTTAGACAAATGCTACATAAATGCTTGTGATTTGTGTAAAACCAATAAAAGGAGCTGCAATTGCTTTTTTTCTATTTTAAAGTTTTGGTTGGCTATATGAACTATTATGAAAACATTTGAGAAATTTGTGCACAATGTTTTAAGAAAAGTCTTCACATGATTTGTCATTTATAAATATAAAATGTTCAGTTAACTTTTTGATAACAGTGAGTTTGAAGAAATGTTTCAAATCAATTGAGAAAAACTGTAATTCATCTATAAAGCAGCTCCGGAGAAAATAGTGATGTCATCATCCAGCTCAGTTCAGTTCAGTTCTCATCGAGTAATGCCCCTGCAGTCACGACAATAATATTGTCAAATATTAAGTGTCCCTAACTAAGCAAGCCAAAAGGCCACAGTGGCAAGGATCCCAAACTCCATCGGTGACATGGAGAATAAAACGTTGGGAGAAGCCAGGCTCAGTTGGGGAACCAGTTCTCCTCTGGCCAACATGGTTTAATTTCAGGCTGCAACACAAGTCAGAGTTGTGGACTGATATCTTTCTGAATATTTCATCCAGTGTCTTCTGCTTGAAGATTGGGTACATCACGCCGGCATATGAAGTGTGTTCAAGCTGGCCACAGGGACTGTGCAGAGGGCTTGTCTGGTTCTCATGAAAGAGAGGGAGAGAGGGAGAGAGAGACAGAGATGGGGAAATAAAGGGTGTATATCGGGTGTGTATTGCTCCTTCCCACGCAGCAAGGGTGGGTGTTTCTGGCTCCTGCATAGTATGGGTTCTCTACATCATCTACATCTTCTAGAAAACCTCAAATTCTCATGCACCTTGCACACACATGTGTCCCGAGTCCGTGAACAACCTATGTTGCCTAAAACACACATGTACATCACAATAAGTAACAATTGTTGTGAGAACGTACTGTTAAATTGTTACAATAAACTCTATAAGCAGGGACGTTGCTAGTATGAGCAAAGGTGAGACTGAGTACAGTACTGCAAAAATGCAGTCTCAGTGTGGACGCAGCCAAAACATAGAGAAAAAAAAATGCTGTTTCAGTTTCATCCAGATTAATGTGGAAGTAGCCTAATATTCACACAAATAAATCAATATACCAGAGGTATATTTTTATATTACTAACAGGACTGAAAATAACAAGACTTTTAGCATAGAAGTAGCATATACATGTACTATAGCCATATGATGTGCATGCTAATAGGATGAAGACACAAATTGTAGTAATTTGCCAAACATTTTAAAATGTTAAATCAAAGAAAAATGTTAGGTAACAGGACAGTATGTTGAAATTTATCTTCTCAGTCATAGTTACAATATCATTAAATATAAAGAAAATAAGTGCACTTACTTTTGGTTTTCAGAAGATCCAGATGGGGGAATGTGTTAGGGTGGACTAAGTGAAAACCTAGGGATGCAACAAAAATGTGTATTTTATCTAAAATATTATGGACTTGCTATGAAATATATATATCTAAAGCATAGATACAACAACGCAAGAAAAGAGATTCCTGAATAATTATATGTTGTGGTGAAGTGTGGTGTTAGAGAGCAGGGACAGGTAACAATTTTTTTTTCAGTGGTTTAGGTAGTTTTTATTAATGGTTTAAATTATGTATTTTAAATTTGAAGTTAGAGTAATGCACTTTGCTTAAAAATAAAATCCATTTTAGAGTTAATTTTATATTATACTTACGTATGTGTTCTAAGGTGTAAATGTATACGTGGCGATGGCACCGCAGACGGCAGCCTCAGTGTTTGGCTCTCTGTGGTTTATATTTATGCATGTGTATTTTATTCACATCTCATTTTTATTATCTGTGTGTTGTTGTTGTCTCCGTGTACTGGAAGCTTGTGACACTATAACAAATTCCTTGTATGTGCAAACATACTTGGCAATAAAGCTCTTTCTGATTCTTTCTGATTCTGGTGTGAGATGTATATGTGTACATGTTCGTAATTAAAAAAAATGTATATTTGTATTGTATGTTACACTGCAGTTCATCACTAGTGGGGTACGGCATAGCAACATCTCTCTTTGTACTTATATCAAATTTGACGTACAGTACAAAAACTTTTTTTTTTTTTTTTAATACAACCAGATGTAACAAAATGATATTAAATCATCTGCCAGGGAGCAAGACAATAATGTATCTTTTGAACAGATTCACAGTCTTAACAGCTTTCTTATTACTAGAGTCAGAAGAGTTTTAAATCTTCAAGAAAATTTCTATAGAAAGGCTTACGTTTGCAAAATGTACATTTATTTATAAAATATTTAGCCAAGAACAAAATAAGGTTGAATAAATAAAAAAAACATCTGACTCTTCACTCTGATGTGTATATCCTAGAATAACATTTTCATATTTCAAAGAGATATCAGGAATTATACCACGAAAAACACTCAATATGTTTTTCCAGAGATTCTTAGTATAATCACAATACCAAAGAGATGGGACAAATCTTCAGTTTGGTGATCACAGAAGGAGCAACTTATATCAAAGTCATCAGAAATAAACCTTTGTAAAAAAAAAAAAAAAAACCCTTTGTAGTATAGCATCGATGTATCATTTTATAAGACACTTCTTTGATTTTATTGTACATAAAGAATTTCTGAGGTAAAGTCCGCACTCTTTCCCAGTTAATGTTACCTACATGTCTGTTCCAATAAAAGATATGCTCCAATGATAAAGCATTAGGGCAAGAGTCTACCTTGCGCTGGAAAAGAGTACGAACACTCCTGTTATTTGACTTTGTGGTCAAGGATAATTTACCAACAACTGTTTCAAACACATTAAGATGTGGCACAACATGAGAAAACTGGTTATTAAAACCCTTCATAAACATAACAATCCCAGAAGGAATGGCTTCAAAAACAATAGCAAATTCTCTTGCTGTAACTGGAATTTTATAGTGTGACAAAAATTCCTCAAATTTAAAAGGTATTCCTTTGTCATTAAATAACTGCCTAACCAAAATAATATAATTTTTTGCCCAATTATCAAAGTAAATTGATTTATTTTTGTACAGTAAATCTCTATTGTGCCAAATTATATAACTATGTGGGGGGAAATTATGTTTGTAAATTAAAGACCACGTTAAAAGACATTGTTTGTGAAAATAAGATAGTTTGGAAATAATTTTTTCAGGATTATAATTACACAAAAGCAAAAAATTGTAACCACCTAATTTAGAAAAAAATTAATTTGGGATAAAGTTCCATAAAGAGGTAGGATTTTTTAGGTGTTGTTTAATCCTATTAATTTTGAATGTATAATTAAGATTAGCAAAGCTGATAAAATTAAGACCGCCTTTTCATAAGAGTTCATAACTACAGTTCCCTTTCATGGGAACTTTGAACTGCGTCCTGTAGGGGTCGCTATGGGGAACGCCTCGTCGTGACCCATGTCTGAAGCATACATTGAAAAAACACCAACTCGTTGGCCGGCGACAGCCATGACGTCACTACCGGTGCGACTATAGTATAAATAGGCGCCGGGAGCACACATCATTCTCTTCTTCGTCTTCATTGACTGTTCTGTTTGAAGCGTGCATTTCCAAGGAAAAAGTAAGAGCTATCTCTATTCATTATGGCGAGCACTAGCAGAGCGTTTAGAAGGTGTGTGCATCCGTGTCATCGCTATTTGACACCCGATGACTCACACGATCTATGCGTTGTCTGTTTGGGGTCTGTGGGTAAACCTGGCAGACATCGGGAAGAAAGAAAAGGGCTTTCTTCTCTATGCCCCGGTTTCGCCCTCTGAACTTTTTGGTACCAGGGGTCCTGGCCCGTCTCGGTTTGAGGATCAGAGACGTAGGGAACGAGACACTGCGTCCTCTAGGTTTCTTGCCATGCTGCGGACACAAGCTTCAGACGAAGAAGTGAATGATGTGTGCTCCCGGTGCCTATTTATACTATATTCGCACCGGTAGTGACGTCATGGCTGTCGCCGGCCATGTGAAAGATCCTCTGCCTTACAAAGTAAAGTTCTACCCTTGAGAAACAAATCTCTGTGTAACCAGAGATTTAGTTTCTTTTTTGTTTTTTTCCATAATTGGGGAAAAATTAACTACACCTCTACCCATCATATCCTTTGATACGACTATACCCAAATAAGTGACTTTATCTTTCACTGGGATACCATCTAAGCTTGTCAAAGGACATTGTTTAATTGAAAATAACTCACATTTATTAATATTTAATTGCAAACCTGAAGCTAGAGGAAATAAACTAATGACATTAATAGCTAAAGAAATCTGAGCATAATTACCTAAAAACAATGTAGTATCATCCGCAAGTTGACTCAGTATGACCTGCCTGTCAGCAATATTAATGCCCTGCACAGAGCTTGCCCTAAGATGAATAGCAAGCAATTGTCCATCTAATAGAAATAAATATGTTGAAATTGGGCAGCCTTGTCGATTCCACGTAGCAAATTAAATCTGGTAGATGAGCCCGTTTTTAATTTGATAGAACACTTTGCATGTGCATAAAGTGTTTGAACTACTTTGATTAAAAACAGGACCAAAACCAAACAAGCAAACAAACCAAACGAGTTACTGACGCTAAAGCGTACTTCCTGGTCTCTCTGCTGTTTTGAAAGATTTGGAAATTAAGTTGCTTTTGATGAATAGGTCTGAATATTATTTGAATTTTAAATAATATAAGCTTTTCTTCGCAAAGTAAATGAAAGGGACTTTAACATATTCTGTTCTGTTTATCTCTGTACAACACAGAGATAATTGCCAAAAACTAAATTACAAGCATTTTAATGTTGCAAAAATGTTCATCGTTTATTTCTGAAATCTCGAAGGCGTGAACACACCTCTGTGACGTCATGACCATGATTCGGTAAGAGCACGTGTGCGGTGAAATGAGATAGCTTCATGAAACTGCTCACCTGTGTGAGGTAAGAGTCAACTAATCTGTCCACAAAAATATGTTTCAGTGTCTATATTATGAATCGTGGGACGTCGGTTTATGTGTTTTCGGTTCGGATTTTATGTCATAAATGTATTGGTACTGAAAAAACAAGCCGTATTTGTGGAAGTTACATAATTAATTGGCTGATTTGTTGTAATTAATGATTACCGAAGCCTAATGAACCGTCCATATTTTAGCTTTGATATATTTGTAAGAGTTCTGCGTGTCACTGCGTTTAAATGTGTGTAACTCGTTATATTTTATAACAATTAGTGGAAACCGTTTAATCAGGAGATTATAGTCATTTGATGAATCTGATTATAATAGCCTGTCTTCAAGTGTCTCTACATGGTGTCAAATGATTTAGTTGTTTTATGTAGCCTATTTTAGAGAGATCTGCGCGTATTATGGGTTTTTAATGAGAGCATGCCAATAGACGGTAAACTCAGCTGCACGTATGTGTGATATGCAGTGAAACTCTTTAAACCTGAACTCATCTGAGCGGTCTTGTCACATTCCACACACACTCATCAGACCAGTCACGCCAAGCACACATTTATTTTATTTTTTTTATTATTTTTTTGTAATATTCAGTTTATGAATCTCAGTGGTATTTTTAGATCACAGTACAGTTGTGCTGTTTCATTACTGTTTTAGTTTGTAAAAATGTGCGACAGAAGCTTTTAGATAAAATACTGGTGAATTCAGTTATTTGTTCATAGCTTTATTAAGCGTTTCAAATAGTTTGAAAACCTGTTTGTTCACATTGCTCAGATTCAGTGTCAAATAGTCACCAAAGTTAGACCTAGACCTGTAATGTGTTTAGCCTACACATAGTTCATTTTATAATTTTAAAACGATTTGATTTTGATAATTTATCAAACTTATTTTGAGCTTTGTTTGTACCTTTACTTAAAGCATTCTGGATAAATATTTAACCTGTTTCTTAGTCTTTCACGTTTTGCTAAGTCTAGATTAGCTGATCTGTTTTGAATCAGGGTTGTTGTTTTTTTCAGTATAAATTCTGAGGTTATAATTATGCTGATAATTATTTGATGCTGTGGTTCTCAAACGAAATGGAGCTTTAGGGTTGAACCATTCACTGGTAAAATACAGGGTTCTTCTCAAATGGATGGCTGTGTCCTTCGAGGCTTCGAGTCTGAAGTCCTGCTCCGCATTAAATGCTAGAATGAGACTGTGTAGTAAGTATGCATGACCATTTCAAAAATGTTTCTGCCCCTGCCGTCACGGCACGAAAATACTATTAAAATTATAAGTTAAATAGTAGCCTATTTTATATTACAAATCTCTATAATAACCGATTTTTAAGGGTTCTCCGATTGATTGGCGACCGATCGCTATCGGCCGATAATCTTTTTGGGAAGTTTGATTGGCGGCTGATCTCATAAACGGATCTCAAGCTAACGAAGCGCCTGCCATGAGAGGTTTGGCATGACATGCAGTGGCACAGTCACAATCTCTGTCCGGCACGGGTAAAATAATTATAATGCTGAAGGTGAGGTACAATTCATATTACTTTATTAAATAACTTCCAAAAGAAATTTGAAAACTTCCTGCGAGACATAATTTCACAAACAGTGTGAGTGAATCACTGTGCGCTCTTTCTCTTTCCCTCTCAAAATGCTCAAATAGCTTCAAATCACCACATCGTGTCTGCACTATAAGCGAGCTGCACAGTTGACACAGGAATTGTAACTTGCACAATCGAGTCTGTGTCGCATCATCACTAAATTTTACAATGTGCATTTCTTTTTAAGTCTTGCCAGTGTTTAAACCATTCAGCACTCGCACGCTCTCCTAGAGACGGTTCACTCATGCACACTCAAAGCGTGCACACATAAGGCCGCCTCACATATAGCTCACAAAATCAGTCTTTTCTTGTGCTGTGTGTAAGCTATTATGCATTGTAAAAACAAAAATGCAATGTATGGTCAAATATTTAGGTGAGATAATTATGTATTTTTGGAAAATGTCCACAAAAAAAAAATGAGGTGAAACGGAGACTGCCTTTCAAGGATCCTTTAAATTGAGAATTCTTTAACGGGGCTTGATGGCAATACTGCTGAAATGTGCAGCCTTACTAGGATGCTTCTGATTGAGAAGCAGCCACAGAGTTTTAATTTAACACAGTTCAAAATGACAGACATACCATTTGCAGTGCTCACCATCAATTTTGTTGACCTGTGAACAGTTTTATTTATCTACTTAATTACTTTTAGTTAAACCTGATGTGTGTTTTCAAATTCAAAATGTTGGAAGGTAGTGCTTTAGAAAGAAAAGCATTTTCAAAAATTATAAGCAGAAACATAATTGCAACTCGGTGGTGCTGCAGGTTTTGAGGTAATGACAAGGAATTTTCAGAGTCTCCACTATTAACTGTGCCTTGTTTCACTTTCCTCCATGTGATTCTGTGGGCTGCCACAGACTCATGACAGAAGAATGAGAGTATTAACAGATTCAATGGGTGCCTTTGCATCGTTAGTACTTGGCCGCTATTTAATAAATATTAAAGAGATATTATTCCCTTAAGATTTGCATTATTTGTGATACCAAGAGTTAATAGTGTAATTTTTTTTTGTGGTGTCTGAAGTGATTATAACAAGTCTTAGTCACAGTTCCAATGGACTAAATGTAATGATAATAAAAAAAAAAGACAAATGTGTCTGAAATGTGTTCTAAATGTTTTTCTGAATTCTGAGTTCTTACAGGATGCTTTCCTAGGCCTGGGCGATAAAACGGTATCGATATTTATCGATGGTACACCTTCTTCGATAACGATACAAAAAATGTTAGATATAGGCACGTGCTATGAGTGACGCAGACAGCACACACAAACAGGAACATGAGTGCTGTGCCTATTGCATCTGAAGGCAAAAATATTACAATGAATGTTAGGTGTGCGTCAGGGAGCGTCATCAGTGGAGCACGAGATGCGGTGATGATGATGTAAGTGACGTTGTAGTTTAATGTTTTGTTAGTCTAGCCCACGATACGCGCAGTTGCTGCGTTATTCATTCAAAATATTAGAGAAATATAGTAGCTCATTGCGGAGAAGATCTTGGTTAGGTTATAACCGAAACCAAGCCATTCACACAGAAATCATATTCGGTGCATTTTTTTAGACGGACAAATATAACTGCTGCACTCGCGTCTCACACCAGATGTATAGAAAGCCATGCAAAGTTAAAACAGTTTAAACTTGGAAAACACGTCACGAATTTGTGGAGGTTTATTCCTTATGTTATTAAAGGCAATCTGTGTGATGGGCGATTCGGCTCTTTGGATTAAGCAATGCATAAATACATGATGCTGTTTTGTTCATAATTTGTTTATGCAATTTACGAAATTTGATTTGATTTATGAGTTAATTTAGACGTAATGCACGTTTTTTCATAGACGGTTATTTCCATGCGTGGACAATTTAATGTGCTGCATTATTTTGCTCATTGCGCCCTCCTGTGGCCTCGGGGAAACGAGCTAAAATTTTACCTATTTAATCTGCATATAAAAAAACATTAGAAATTAGATATGTTTAATTTTTATTTTGTGTTTGATTGTTAAAACAAAAAAATTTGTTGTTTCTCAAATTGAGTTAATTTAAAAATACAGTGGTTAAATGTAAAAAAAAATTCCTATTACTGTTTTAAAAAAGGTTATAAAAATGTCAATAATTATTGATACCGAACGATATGAAACATTATATCGTTGATACATTTTTTTAGCTATATCGCCCAGCCCTACTTTCCACTCATTTCCACTAATTTGTATGTTTGTATAATGCATCTCAGACCATATGTTATTTGATGGAAGCATCCAGCCTGGAATAGACTGACTTCTGAACATATATTTACTATATCAATGGCTGACTACGGACATCCTCTGGGTAGCAGCCAATCAGTGAGTGCTCTGGATAAATCAGCGCTCATCTCTGCTGTTAAACCCACACACTCCTGTAATGGCAGCACAGGATCTTCACGCCACTCACGACAGGTCAGTGAACAGCTCTCAATATTTCTTTTTGTTCTGGTTCTTAACATCTGAATTGTTTGTAATTTCCTTTTATCAGTTATTATTATCATAACTCAACACCTTTTTTTTTCTCCCAATACAGAACTCCAGGGATTGGGAAGTAATATCAGATGCAGAATGTTCTGCACCTGTCGCGGGAATGAGTTTGGTCAATAACACTGTTCCAGGCATTTGTGAGGGATTCCTCATGAAAAAGCGCAAGTATCCTCTCCGGGGCTGGCATAAGGTGAGTTGCATGAATTAAGAACATATCCATGGCATAGAATGACCACCATGACTCACCTAGTGACCTGTCCCAGTGCAATGATTTTCTCCTTTAGAGATATTTTGTATTGGATAAGGGGGTTCTCAAATATTCAAAGACTCAACAGGATGTAAGCAAAACTAATATCTCTTATTGCAGTAATTAAAATCACAATGTAGAATTATCTTTTTCCAGTGCTTTGTTAAAAGTGTGACTTCTCACATCCTCAGATTGTCAGAGGCAAGATTCACTGTGCTTTAGATGTTAGTCTTGCGGTCATGTCTGTGAACAGAAAATCTAAGCGCATCGATCTTGATGCTGGCAACAGCTTGTACCATGTCAAGGTGTGTATATGTACAACTAAGAATGTTATAGTAGTAGTGATTGATGTTATAAATCATTACAGTAGCTCACGTTGCCCACGTTAGCTGAGTCTGAGTCAAGTAAATAAATCCTCAATAAATCAAGAGAGTGTCCAAATTGCACTCAAACCATTACAACCAACAGTATTTCACATTCATTCTATGCTTCAAGAAAAACAGTGCTTTAATAATAAAAAAAAATATATATATTTTTTTTTTTTGTACTATCACAATTTAAATGACAACTGTTTTGTAATATTTGCTTTCTGTAGAGTTATTTTTATTGAATGTCTTGCACATAAATTAAGTACAAGCCATTCAGAACTTTTACTAGCCAAAACAAACAAACCAGGGGCCAGATTCATTAAACATTCTTAAGAAAAAAAAACTTATTAACTGCCATTTTCTTTTTTTAAACTTAAGAAAAAATGTAAGAAAATATTTTGTATTCCTAACATTTTTATTAATGTTATTTTTTCTTAAGATTGTTCCTAAGACAAAACTTCAGGATTCAAATTCGTAAAAAGAATCTTCTTAAAAATCATTGTAAATAACTTCTTAAAGTTAGGATAGCCCCAGACTTGTCTTAAAACCCAAATAGTAAGAATTGTTTAATTTATTGGGTTATTTCAAATTAATTGTTATATTTAAGCATTACAACAACACTAGTTACATATAATACATAGTAGGACTATACTAGGGATGTGCACGAGTTTTCTGAAGTGACAGCGCTGGCTGTTAATGTAAACGATGACCGGTCATGATTGTGTAACGTGACCATTTGCTGAATTCAAAATTCAGTAACAACTCTACAAAAACAAGTCTGATAGGGAGCTTGTTTTTAATTTAGCCTATAAATACAACATAATCTTTAGCAGTATTCAGCGCGAATGCGCCCATACACAGCACACATTTACTGTAGCAGCGCACACACACACATACTGGAAGCATTCACTCAGGAGAGAGCGCAAAAACACAGCACAAAAATGAATGAAACAGATCGCTGCAGCTTGAGACAGGCTTTTTTCAGTTAACTTCAAAAACATGGCACATTTAAAATGTGAAGCCGAGCGTCAGTCAGGCTGGTTGTGACAAAATAGTGTGCGTGCTTATTATGATTATTAGTGTAATCTGAAATCTTCATTTATTTCTTAAGAAGATTTTCGTGAATCCGGCCCCAGATTCTTTTCAAAGTTTTTTTCAAAATCAAAGTTGCAGCTTTGATTTAAATTGAATTATTATCTGATTCTGCTGTTAGTTTTTATTACATACAATCATTGTTTGTAGATACCATAAATCCAACCTGTTCCAAGGATTAGTGGACAGGCTGCCAATTAACAAAGTGATCAGCAGTTTCCTTACAAACGTCACAAGTCATCACCTCCATTGTCATACATTCAAAAAAAGTCAACCCGTTTCCCTCCAAAGGCATTTGATAATAATGAAAATCTTGTCTCAAAACATGATGACATAACTAGATAAAGTTTGTAGACAAACTTTAAGTTGACTTGAAAAAGCTTAGCCAGAAAGTTTGAAGTAGTTTTAAAAGCTTGAAATTTAAAGGTTTTCAGTTTGAAATGGCAAGGTTTTAATTTACTGGTTTTTAAAAGCTTAAAACCAGCTAAAACTCAAAAGCTAGATTTAGAAAAATAGCTAAAACCAGCTGATTTAGCAACAAAAGCTAAAATCCAGCTAAGACCAGATCATTTAGCCAAAAACATCTAAAACCATCTGTTTTAACAAATAAGCCGGCTAAAACCAGTTGATTTAGCATAAAATGGCTGAAGCCAGTTAAAAACAGCTAAAATCAGATGAATTTGGCAAAAAAAAAAAAAAAAGTTTAAAGCAAGCCGATTCATTAAAAAAGTTAAACCCAGATAAAACCAGGCCATTTACTGAAAACCAGCTAAACCCTACTGATTTAGCCACCAAAGCTAAAAACCAGCTAAAACCAGATCATTTAGCAAAAAAAAAACAGCTGAAACCACTTG